GGTATTATAACCGTAACGTTCACGTTCGCCGGCCAGAGGACCCACTCAGGACGGGCTCAGGACCCACTCGACTCGTGCGAAAATCGTGCTCTCATTTCTTGATCCTTGCAATCATTATTATGCAAGAAGAAATGTGTTACAGCAGCACATACATACACGTCGCCGACAACGTTCTACAATCATTTCATTTATGACTTCCGAGCGTCCTACCATTTATTTCTCGACAAGCTATGTTCACCTCTGTTCAAATGTACGTTTACGCCAGCTTAATAACCAAGTTTGCGTTTACATGTGTATGAGAAATAGTGTACACATAACTACAATAAGGTCACGGACTGGCGACGGCATCGACGCTGATTCCCTTTACGTGAAAGAATACGTGGACGCAAGGTCACTTAACAAATTTGAAATTGCAAACTTAAAATATACCATTACACATCTCATTACGTTTTAAAACATAGCAATAAATAGGAACGTACAATGAACGACCGCCACCGCAATTTAAGTTACACAGAGCCGGCGTAAACGATCATCACTCTTGCATGTACACAATATATGTTACAAGAGGTCATTGAACTTTAGCATGCTAAGTGCGGCACGTAGAAATGTTCCGTTTTTGTTCATCTTGAATTTTCAACTGAAGGTATAATGTTCCAGCCTAGTGCCCCCAAATAATATTACCTTGAAATGTCCTATAACAAAGTGGCGTTAGTTAGTTGTACCACTCTTTTAGAACAGCCAAACATTCAGCCAATGAAAACCTAACGTAATCGAGTTTGAATGTAGATATATTCAAATTAATTCACCCCAAATGCAACATTACATTTAAATGTACTATTAAGCGGTACCCGGACAACTAAATGCCAACAACATATCTCAGATGTTGTGGGTTACGCAATAAGGAACGCGAAAAGACCATAACTGTTGTGAGTAATGTTTACTGAATCACAATTTTATTGAAAAAGTAAAAAAACAGTGAATCTATTGACAATGCGAAATTAAAACATCATTTTGCAGATAATGTGACAACTTCACACCCATTTAAATCTTATAAGAGAGAGTAATTTAGGAAAAGTTACAGTCTTTACTTTACAACTCCCGAGTATATATTTACTTTCACCATGCTCGTTAAAACAAACACTATAAATCAGAAACATATTCATTTCTATTTCTGATGCAGAAACAATACATTTACGTAAACACGTCACAAACAAGTGCAAGCGAGCATTGGTCAGAAGTTCAAGGAAAACAGATAACGTGAAGACAGCGAAGAATACAAAACGTGGTACAATAGTTTATTGGTGAACGGATTTCACGGAGGTATATTGTCAGGAAATTTGCATAGACTATAAATGCACATCATTGGTTCATTTCAAATCTCGTCTCGCCTGGCGTCATATTTCTGTTTCTCAGCATCGGGTTTACCACTTTCGGATTGTGGAGCACTTAACGATTCCTGCAACATCATATCTGAGAAAGTAGCGAGAGTAATGAATAAACAAATTAGAAACTAATGTATGTTAATTATAAGCGACGTTATCTCTTGAGCAGCGGTAAACGCTCTCTGACGGCTAGATTTTAAACTAAACGGTTTGATTGTTTTTCTCCAGGACGCCAATAAACTGTTTCCACATTAACAGAACAGAACTGTTTTGGAGTCTATCCCGGAAACATAAAAATATCATCTCCATTTGTTGTGTTTGCGACTTACCTTCACATTCTTCGTCATTTTCTTGATTCTGAGCTTCAACGTCTTTGTGAGCATTTCCACGCTTAGACAGGATGACTATGACTACTATAAGCGTTGCCATGACACCAATGGTCAAAACGGTAGCCACCACAACGACCGTCTGTACTTCACTCTTCTTTTCATTATTGATATATGGTATCACCGTGCCCACTTCCTTTGTCTTATTTTCTGAAAACAATGACATGCAGTTTGATTGACCATAATTGTGCATTTCCGACAATCGGCCACAATCATGGCTTTCCTGACAATTAATGCGACGGTCATTTATGTAAAGACGTGTTGTCGACGACGTATTGCGCTCATCAAACAATACTGGTGGTTTATTTATTGTCGTCACCGAAATGCTTGCCTATATCAGACCATGGAACTATGGGGTTTATAGTTCCATGATCAGACTGAGTGTTGACAGGTATCGGTCGTACGTGCTGGAATGCGTACAGCGCTACGACTACCGCTTTTTAATCTTCTAATGTACTGCACCTATTATAATGGTGGCCAGTATACGTATATATGGGTGGCTGCTGACGCCTTCATAATGAGTATATCTGGTACATGCACAGTGGAGGACCGATAATGCTGAGACAAGCGGGCATTCGTAAAATAAGGTTTACAAGGAATTTGAATTTTACGTATCACACAAGTCAGTGGACGACGCAGTTGAGTTTGACCCGAACGCGGCGTATGTGTGAACGATGATATAACACATTAAGAATACATCGAGATAGCAGTGCCAACGTATCACACTTGGAACGTCCGGCGGTGCATTTCCTGGCCGTACGTGTTTTCCAAGTCTGTGTAAATGCTGTACACACCTGAGGTGTTACATTCAATAACAAATGTAAACTTAACAATTTAATATAAAATATGTGACTTACGCCGCGTGTTACACGTGTTTAAAACTTCGAGGTGTGATGAACAGCGCTGATGAATACAAACGCATTGTGAATACAAATACCCGGCGGTTTTCAACGCTGGTCAGATTATTGAACCCTGACATCACCGCGAATCGAGTGTATTCAATAAATATTAAGTTGAATGTACATTATTGTATTATATCTCATGCCGTGCAATTACAAATATATTCATGCGGTTCGTATACAAATATATATATATTTTTTAAATAAAATGTTAGCACACGTAAGCCACGGCTTTAGTAACCGTGCATGAACGTATTGTGAGTGAGCGAGCGCTCATATAACATAGTAGGAAGGGGGGGGGGGTTCTGTGTTGTCCGCCGGACCTCGACATATAATTCCTGCGATGACTGTTTTTAAACTAATGTTTTCAGAGAACGGTGTTATTCCGTAATCGCCAAATCGATTTATACCTCCACCGATAAAAGTACTTACCTGACGTGATGTTACACTGCTTACAGTTGACATCCGGGAGACTATCGCAGAGTATGCACTCTTGACATGCGCCATATATACTGTCACAGAATTTATCAGGTCCACACTGGCATCCTGAAGATAACAATGAACAACACAATATAATGAATGTAAGATGTAGCACATATTGATTCATTGTCAATATTGGTTGAGAAAATTCTGGAACAATTTTGGAAGGCAGCAGCGGAATTTATTGTGTGCTCCTGCTTGGACACTAAATGGTAACAACTACTAGTAAGTGAATCACGGTTATTGGATAATTTTACCATGGGTTATTCCATTTTGCCAGTGTGGGTGGGGTGAGAAATATTATGTCTAAGCACAATGTCCAGTTGTAGTCTTAGTCGTCAATGAATGTGTTGAAATTATACTGTATTTATACTGGATTGCCTACGATTCGACGTCCCTCAATTGCAATGTGCCCATCCCTATGGTATAAGTGTATCGCACAGGCCAACGCCGGCGTAGATTCCGCAATGTGGCTTTATAGAAAGAGAGACTCGAACAATAGACATTGGTATCACGTGGGCAGTATACATCTTACAATGTAATCATCGGAATTGCATGTCATTATTTACGGTGATAATTGGAGTTTAGTGCAACGCTTGGTGCAAGATGATTTCCCTATCGAGCTTCAATATTAGTATAGGAAGGAACGGCAGAGTTGGAGTTAGGGTGGTGGTGGCGGTGCCCGGCCGCGGGTTATTGTGAAACAGTGGATACATTTCCATTGTGAACACTGCGACATACCGTTCACCGCTGTGTATTTGTAGATTACCCAGAGTCATTGACCTTTGGTACTGGCGAACGCTTGTTAAAGCGGGGGGGGAGTCGCCACCTATGCATGCGGCAAACGACCATAGTACTAGTATGTCGTTGTTTACAAACAAGCGTCTAGCCATGCGTTGTTATTGTCGCTTGCAACTCAATTCCTGAGCATGCGCAGCTGACGACCCCTCTGCTTTAACTACATTGCACCTATGCCTTGTTTTTGTCATATTAACTGCGGGAGTAATAATCAGTATTTCACATAACACAGTATATTTGGAAATAATTACATGCAAGTTACGGTATGATACAGAATTGCCGTGGCGTGTCAGGCGTATTCAGTGCAAGTCTCCGGTGGCCGCCTTTAAGTTATAACAAATTTCTGTCACTTTATTGACATATAAGTAACTCCCCAGATTTCAAAATAAACACATTTCCGTGGCGATAGTATATACGTCCAGAAGTACAGTTGAAAACACGTAAATCATACTTACGGGTTTTATTATCACACTGATTGCAGTTAATATCAGGCAG